GACTGGCTGATACTAGTCGATGGAGAGTCAGTGATTTTGGCTGGGCATCTTGCTGGACAGTAGTATACCTGGGACATGCAAACAAAACTAAGGAGAAATTGGCATTTTACAAGGCACTCCAATTTTTGGGAGATGTGTTTCTTTCTGATGGAGATGTTAGGACAGCACACAGTCTGTTCATTGTAGCACTAGATGGCTTCACTTTTATGGATGTCCATCACAGCAGGGCCAACTGCATGTTATGGCTTGGAGATCTGGCACAACAAAGAGGGCAGTTCATGAAAGCAGTGGAACTATGGGAGAATGCTCGGCCACTCTTTGAAAGGTCATCACAAATGAGTGATGTAGCTCAGGTTGATGCAAGGCTTGGTGTTGTGCAGCAATACCATCAAAGTGCACTTGCCAATCTTATTGAACTCAATGCACCAAGTGAATCCCTGGAGGCACTCAATTCTCGAAGATATAAACTGTCTCGAGGCTGAGGTATGAATTTGGGTCACCCCTGTGAAAGAATATGGAAATGGCTCAGGTCTCTGTTGTCTTCTTTAGCTTCCTACTTTGTACTTATCTATTATTACTTCTGACAAATTGGTTTATCACTGGTCTTGTAGGCGAGTTCAGGATAGTATCTGTGTGAGAATGAGGGTATTCACAGAGAGGGAAGAGGAGGGGGGAAAGCGAGATCTGATAATTTATTCAAGAAATCCGAGGACTTTTATAGCCTGGAGAACAATGTAATATACAAGCATAAATAGAGAGGTTGAACAATGGAGCATACGAGGTTTCAGACCAGCTGAAACCACTTCCATAGAAATGCTACGTGTCCATGCAGCTTAGCTGTTTCAGTTCGCTGTGCGTGTCCATGCAAACTATAGCACAGTTTCAGTTCATCGGCTTTCATTATTCCAACAATCTGGGAAGATGTTTCTAGTATAATTCTCTTTATTGTATCAAGCTTTTGGTTGGAATCTTGCGTACATGCACAATGTGTAAGGAACAATTGAGGGGTTTGAATATTGAGCCCAGCCTTCATGGAAATGAGGTTAGAATTCAAGGTATGAAATACCCGGATTTTTTAGTGCTGATAATTTGCCTATGTATGTCTTATCTCTTGGGCTCCACTGCATAAAGTGACACAATTTCCGGAGCAAAGTCAGGTCATCACTTGGATCTCGGATCCTTTCATTATACACAAGAGTCTGCATCCACCGCATAGGTATACAAACCCATACTGTTTTGCAGCCCCAGTGTCGGCAGCAAGACTCGGTCCTGAAGACATCACACCTGTAGAATTTCTATTCAGACCCACCTTTTTATGCTGACAGGTGCGTTCTGCAGTATGATGCCGCAAACTGTACGCCTGTAACCGATTGGCAGAGTGCCTGTTTCCCACCAAGTCCTATGCTCTCGGTCGTCAAACATGTGCGGTCTACGGTTACACGGATCCCAAGGATTATGGACTGTTGGAAGCGACGTTATCAGTCGGTTTAAGCAACAGAATCCCCTACAGTAATCCAGTAGGAACGCAGGAATGGATGGGCACGTACCTGACGAGAGGTCGATCGAATTGTCCAGAATGCCGAGCAGGTATAATCAGCATTCGCAGAAAAATGGTCATGCTCACCCGCATAAGAGAACTCCCGGGTGTGTTGATGTTGGAGGTGACACATCCTAAACTGCGCTTTGACAGAGAGCTGGGTTTCGATTACAATGGAAGGCTGGTAGCTGCCCTTAGGCATTTGGGCGCATGGAGCGGGCGGTGACGATCTCGAACTCGCCACGGCGTCCATTAAGATTCGCCCACGAGGCGACGATCCAGTCGGCAACGGCGTCCGACTCGAACACCACGATGGTATGGTTCTTGTCGTGCGCACGACGGAGGCGGAAGACGAGGCGGCCGGAGTTGGGGAGGACGTAAGCGAGAATGCAGACTGTCTGCCTATGCTTCTATCCTGAATGTGCGCCAACTTCAATTATTATCTCGGGTTTGTCCCGTACAATATACTTCCAGCTAACTGACCAGATTCATGCGGTCTCGTACCTTAGCCCCGCAGCGCCATCCCTCCTCGCGTTAACCACCATGCTTCCAACGCCTTGTACTTGACCTAGTACGTCCCCTTGTCTCTGCGCAATTCGGTTGCGCGCCGATTCGCTGCTGACAGCGAGATCTCGCGGTGTATTGACAGTATGTATTGCATAACTTACCCTCTTAATCACTACGCCCGCGTTACGCGCAATTCAAGGTAAGCAATCTGGTGTAGCCCGCTCAACTCATTCTGATATTCCGTACTTGCAGCCCACTTGCCTGGTTAAATTCCAGCACCGATGACATCCCGACTCTGCAATTTGCTTGACTTTTACTGACATTAGCATTGGAGCGCGCACACGGTCAGTTGATATCAATAACACGTCGCATGTCGTCGCTCACCCGGATACCAACAGAGGCTCGAATGCGGGCATCAGACGCTGCCCGCACGGCAATCCCGACTGGATACTTGACAGTAAGTAATTCTCATCTTGCGCACGACAAGTCCCCGATTAACCGATGCACGCAGAACTCAATTTCAGACTCGGACTCGGCGGCGGCAAACGGATGTATTGCAGGTGCGTACATACATACAGGGTAGCCGTACTAAGGTGCGCGCGCGCAAGACGCGGAAGGCGTGGCGTCGTCGGAGCCGAGCACGGGGACGGATGCGGATACGGATACGGATACGGCGGCGCGAGAGCGCAGGGTGCGAGGGAAGGGCAAGGTCCCGCACTCGGTACGCACGTCGCCATGGATGGGGGGCGCTTCGCGAGCGCAGGGCCGGGTGGAGTCCGAGGGCATGCGGAGGTCTTCTCCCGCACTTGGGGTGCGTCTTTGCAGCGGCGCCGGCGGGCGCGGCGTGCGAGGGGAGGGAAAGAGCAGGGCGCGCATCCTCTCCCACATAGTGCAGCGCCGCGCACGAGCGGCGAGCTCGGCGCCTCGAGCACAGGTCGGCGCCCGAGGGCAGCACACGGCGAGCCGTGCGCGCACGACGCGCGCGCATTCGTGGGTGTCCCTGCGCGCGCGGCGTGTGGTGGCTCGCGTCGGATGCGTGTCTGTACGCACGCGGAGCGGGCGGGGCGCAAAAAGCAAGCAATGTAAGTAGAAAGTAGAGGAACGTGAGGAAGAAAGAAAGTACGCGGTCCACCCGGGGCGCAGGTGCGCGCGGCGCGCGCCGTGAGGCCGAGGAGCGCTTCTGCGCGGGCACGGAGGGTGTTTGACGAAGAGGGGGAAGAGAAGGGGGGCGGAGCTGCGGGGGTTAGGTTATAAGTAAGCGGGATGGGATGGGAGAGGATGGGATGAGGTGAGGTGAGGGAAGCAGGGAGGAAGGAAGGAGGAAGAAAAAAGGACGCACGTCTCCTCGCCTCACGACGATCATGAGCAGTACGCCGAGCGAGTAGAGTGCGCCGACGACGTAAGCCCATTTGTAGCTGCAGCAATGTACACTTCAATCTTTTTAAAGAGAGTAAAGCGAAGATTGAAGGAAGGAAGGAAGGAAGGGACGCACTCGACATGGGCGACCATGAACCCGAGGAAGAAGGGCGAGAGGAAGGGCGAGACGATGAAACCCATCGTCCACAAATTGAGCTTGCGCGCCTGCAAATGAAACGGATACATATCCGTAACAGTATACAGCCCCGTGATCTGCGGCGCCGTCGAGAAGAACGCAGGATCGCCCAGTTGGACGAGATGGCGTTGATGTGGTCTGCGGTTGTCCCGTATTCGGCGGCGAGCGGGAAGATGGCGGCGACGCCGATGGAGCCGACAAAGTCGGGGACGATGCTCGCGAGCGTGATGATGAGCAGCTGCAGGTTCTTGCGTGCGTCGGACCACTGCGGCTGTGTCAGCGTAAGAAATTACAGAGACGCGGACGCACATTCTGCGGGTCCTCCGGGTCTGACGTGGGCTGTGGCCAGAGGACGTACCGGCCGTCCGCGGAGAGCTTGAGGCGCGCAGCGACGGCCTTGCCGAACGCGCGCTGCGCCTCGGCGGGGTCGACGACGAGGCGGCCTGCGTTGCGCTCGTGGTAGCCCAGCAGGTCCGCCGCCGTCTGCGGGACCTCGACGGCGTCGGCGTTTTCAGGCGCTGGCATGGGCGCGGGGGGACTGTGGGTGCGGACAACGGAAAAGATTGCCGAGCAGGGTGATAAATCGATAACTAACGCCCAGTGAAGCAGCAACGCTAACTTGGCTAATAACGCCTGACAGCACACACAGACTCACCCGAGTACGCTGGGGATTCTCTCGACGAGGCTACGCAGACGACGCGGGGATGGATACGGGGGCTGCGGCCATGGGAATCGCGGTCCTCTTCGGGGCGCTCAGGGGGAGGAGGAGGGGCGAAAAAAGGAACAGGAAAGGGACTTAGAGGGATCAGGAACGCACGCGGAACCTGATTCGCCGATGGCATCAATGAGTCCTCGATCATTACACGACGATCACGTTGCCACGCAGTTCAATCTCGTTGGTCGCGATCCGGACTTTGGTCAAACGACAGCCAAACGACAGCTACGGATTCATTCTCTCCGCATCACAATTGTTGGCCCGCAGCAAGGTACAACCGCAGCACAGTCTCTTGCAAGCAAAGATTTTACCGCCTCCGCACACGAGGCGCCGTCCCATGGTGCGAACATCCACCCGCGATCTAGCCATTTCGCACCCTCGGTCCCATGCACCGCCCGCTGAATCTGCTCCCCAGTTTTTCCCAGCTGCGGTTTGATTTGATTTATAATTACCTTATTGACCCACCTTCCACAGAACGGATGCTACCGGGTGTCTCAAAATTGAGAGTTGAAGTCAAAGCACCCCAGTAACCCGTTGCCGAGGCATTCCTCCCAGCTGCGGTTCCATTTATAATTAACTTATTGACCACCGTCCCAGTGGGTGAAAGCACAGTGCGCAAAATGAAGAGGGCGTACCAGCTACCACCACCCGCAGAGGCAACCAGGAAAAAATCGCGCATTACAGCGGAATCACCCGGCCCCGGATCGAACGGGGGCCATCTGCCTATAAGTTCTCGGTGAGCTCCTTAGGTAAAGCAGATGCACACCATGTGCGACCGGGTGTTCCTAGCTCTGTGTTTAACGTGAGCTTTAGATCAGTTGGAGTTCTTGGTGAGCAAGCACCCTCTGAAACAACACAATCTTCAGCTCCTAATTTCAGTGAGATCCCAGAGTGCAGACCCGACGAAATCTCAAAAAAAAAGGCTATTGCGCCAGTCTATCACCCGACCCCGAGTCGAACGGGGGCATTCTGCCTATTCCGTGGTCAGCGCATAGGTAGAACAGATGCACACCATGTGCTACCAGGTGTTTCTACCCTTGTTTCGAATTGGGACTCATGCGAGCGTATGCAGAGTGGTCGAAAATTGTCTGGTGAATTCACAACACAAGTGTTCTTATTCGGCGAGGTATGTAGAGAAATGATTATTGTGTGATTGTAACCAGCCATCCAGCGATGCAGAAAGATTCAGCCTTCACGCCCAAGAAAGGGAAAAAAGAAGCGTAAACGGGACGCTATCACCCGACCCCGAATCGAACGGGGGGCCTTCTGCCTTCTCCAGGAGAGATTAAGACCATGGGGGACAGATGCACACCATGTGCCACCGAGTGTCTCCAACCCTGTTTCGAACTGGGATTCATGCGAGCAAATGACGATTTTGAACGCAGGAGATCCGTCAGAGGCCAAAAGACACATCACAGCGCCGGAATTCCCTGAAATAGATCTGTCTCGGAACAGTGTACCAAAACCATAGGCCACTCGACCAAGGTGCACCCCATCCACCCTCGACAAACATCACGTGTAATCTCCTTATCTGGCGAAACAGAGAAAAATATTTTCTATTGGAATGACTAGGGACATTAGAGCAAATCACCTCGACCAGATTACGAGTACTTATAGTAATCATTATTTTAATCAATTGACATGAGGTTTTTCAGGTGTGGTTAAAAATGTCCCAATTTAAGATTGCAATGCAAAATAGTGGCTGTGCTATATAAGATAGTGGCTATGTTGAATGTAAAATAGTGGCTGTCCTTTAAACCCAGTGGGAAACCCAGCTAGGGACATTGAGCGAGAATGAGGCAAACTGAGACACCTCAATCTCCCTCGCCAATCTGGCCGTGCCTCGATCTCGCTCATTACAAATTGAGGGAAATCGAGGTACATTGATTCTGCCGCTATCCGGAGTGATTTACAACGAGCCCCGTCGATATGTATACAAACTGTGTGCTCTCCATGCCCTCCCGCCGCGCCCTCCCGCCGCACCCTCCCGCCATTTCTGCGCCCGGTCGCTCCGCCGTCATTGTAATACGTGAGTGGGAGCCTGTGCATCTGGAAACGAAGCGAATCAGTGCTACACGAGACTCAGCAAAGAACAAATACCAACTCACTGAATCTAGTCCTTCCAATCTAGGATCTGCGAAAGTAGAAATCAGTCGAAGATTTGGGCAAGAAGAAAAGTCACTGTACCATCAAGCTGGGGCTACTGTCAGGCTGCGGGCTTGGCCTACCGCTTTGCTGCGCTCGGTGTAGATCTAGTGCAAACTGTCAGGCCAATTCCCAAAGAAGCAGATATATACACACCTTGAGCTCGCCACCCAGGATAGCCAAGAGTCGCCAGCCGGTGAGCTTTGGTACTGAGTTCACATAGCCAAAGTTCCGGGAACTTACTCTCCATTTCGCCGGCATAGTACGAGCGAGCGAGAGACGATGCATCACTCCAATTGTAGGGCGCGGCACCTTTGCTGTGGAGGTAGGCCCAGATGGCACGAGCTGCGGTCTTTGCCTTCTTAACCCAGGACCCGGGCACTGGGACTCCGTTCACATCCTCGACGAACCAATGCATAACATTCTCGTCGTCCTCGGAGATGCGCTTTGCGCCGCGCTGGGACTTGGCGTCCTCCATCGTAACAATCCCTTTGGCTTGTTTGCGGCGGGAGGCTTCAGTAAGATGTTCCTTATCGGTCCAGATCGTGACATTAGGGTAATCGATGCGGTCTAGGATCTCGGTAGGCGGAGGGGTGGGTATCGAATTCGATCCAGAAGGATTTGCCGGGCCAGATAGCTTCGAAGAGACTGCATTGGTTAAAGTGGTAAAGGCATCTCTGCGCAAGAAGATGTTAGAGTGACATGTCTCTATTCGAGCGATGTATAACACACTTTAAAGTTCGAAACGACACGTCCAGCTCAGCATATGCCCGCTCGGAGTACTGAAGCTGTCGTTCGAGCTTTTGATATGCTTCGTAGAGGGCCATGTGCGCGAGATTGCGATTCGTCATGAGTGTTTGGTGTGTAGCCTCAGCGATTGAAGCGTTCCATAGATGGCGGGATGAACCGCCAAATTCGTGCTGTGCATGTGTCAGAGGCATGCTGTACAGGTGTAGATAAGGTAGATACCCTGTCGGAGACAGAGGAATCATCACAGGACTGCCTGGAGGTCGACGAGACAGAGCGGTTGTGTTGTGGGCGTAAACGGTCTGCGGACGGGGAAATGACGGACGAGAAGCTTTCTGATCGCAAGGGAGGAGTTCCAGATAGCGTAGGGCTGTAACAAGGCGAAAAATCGAGTGAACGAGTCGAAGAGAGAGTGTGGGACGAGCCGCTTGAATAGCTGTTGTTTGGAGGGCTTGCAGGACGTAGAAAGTGGGGGGAATTGTGCTTATGAGAATGGAGTGAAGGTTGTGAGGATTCGGGAGTCTCCCAGGGTCGTTCCATGGTGTTTGGGCGGACGAGGGAATGGTAGGAAAAAGAGAGGAGACACGCCCACGTGACATCTTTCCGCCCAACATCGTCTTGGCGCACCCTAAGAGCATTGATTCCAAAAAAAGACACCAGACATGTATTAAGATTCTGTGTCCCTCTCGCGTACCCCACACATACTCCCCGCTTCAAGCCCCATTTTTGGAACAACAAAAAATCGACCATGGTCATCAAAGGGAATCATACCAACAACTGAGGAGATGATGTTCGCCTCGATAATCTGCAGCTCGCTGTCTCCGGTACTGCTCGATACCCAAAGATTGTTGAAAGAGCTCTCCAGCAAGTCTTGATCTGGCGGCGAGTACGGTGAAATTAGCGCCAAACTTATGATTTCATCGTCGTCGGTTTTTGCCTGAAAATAGAATTGAACCTCCCCGTAGGATTCACCATCCACAGGGTCCTGAAACTAGGGAGAATGAGTCGCTGCATTGTAGATAGCAAAGCTGCTTACTCGAATATTTCGAGACGTCCGACTTTATTCAACGCCTTTTGTTTCTCTTTCCATGCAGAGCGAGCAATTTGACCATTGGGAAGGAGAAGCCGTGCCCATCTTTGGAGGGAGGGGGAAAATTCTGTGCATAGGTTATCCCGGTGGTATCCTCGAGATAGTCTTTGATGGCGTCGCCAGCCGGACCACAGATGGTTTGGTTATATTCGTCTCTGGCGCGAAGCAACGCATAACCGTCGCCAAGGTCTTCCGAGCCGCGTGGCAGACAGTCGTTGTCGGGCTCCAAGTCGGGGATAAGGCTTTTGAGTGCATTCACTTGAGCCCGGCGGGTGGCACGCTGGGACAAGTTTTTGTACGGATCAGAGTGCTGCTTGATCTCCTCGCCGAGATTCCCGATCGTTCGTTCCATGGTCCACTGCGTGTAGTATGCGCCAGGACCCAGTCTGATAATTTCGAGAGCCTCGTGAAGGAGGATGTGGATGCTCTGGCGGACGAAATGAAGTCGAGATGGGAGGCGCCGGTAATAAAGCGACTCATAATCTTCGAACAATCTTGCAGTAATGCCTGCAGTAGACATCGGGAAGGATATCACGAAGAAGTCCGGGGCCGAGGCCGAAAAGGTAGGTCAAGCACTCTTGGGCTTTATAACCGCTCGACATGGCCTCGGCGGGGTTACGCGGGGGACGATCGAAGGAATTGGGAAGATATGGGGTAGCAGCGGCGACTCTGGCACCGTGTTTCTGCCAAATCGCATAGTCTTTGAGCCCAGTCCAATCCCATAACGAGCGATCATCGAGGGGGTCGCAATCGAGGGTCCCGCGCCAAAGACCCATCAGTAGCTCGAATAGATTGAGGATTAGGTGCATTTGATCTCCCGGAAAGCAACCAGGAACTGAAATGATTCGCGGCAGACCACTAAATATCGTGGGCCCGGAAACACCAGTTTCGAGACGCCGGTTAGCATGCTGCGAGGCATTTGCCGAGTTCATGACTAGATGGAGAGCGGAAAGATAATCTTCTGGGGTGCCGGGAGCGAGATGGCGTCCAGAAACGTCGTCATGGTCGCAACCATCGACATTACATCAATCTGGTTTCAACAGCGCGGGATAATATGTCCCGGATCGTGGCTTGTGCCGTCCCTTGACTGGACAGAAAATCCGACATCCGTAGGCACGATCATGGCCATTCCCGGTCCATCGGCGGTTGAAAGATAGACGAAGGGGTGATCAGTGAAGACGCGATCCAACTCAGCATCCCAAATCTTGAAACTTTCCCTCATTAACGCGGCGAGATGGTACAGTCCTGGAAAAAGGAACGACTCGACATTTTTGATCTTGTTCGGACCTGGCAGGGTTCCACCAGGGATTACAAGTTTCTTCATGTAGCGGAGATTGGGGTCGGCGTCTAAAAAAACCCAAATATATATCCAACAATCGGACTGCTTCTGTGCATATAGCTGAGCTCCGTCGATGGAAAACATGAGAAGGGAATCATCGTCGGTGATGCGGCGGTTCGTCACTGCGTCGAGATACGCTTGGCCGTGATATATATCATCATACACGTCGATTTGTATCTTGCCGTCTGTGCTACGTTTTTGAAGGATTTCGGCGGTGCGCTTCTGTCTGTGCCGCATGCGACGGGCCCCTTCCGGACTACGCCACAGTGCCTGCAGCACTGGACCGAGAGGGATTGTTTCAAATTTCTGCGCCGCCACTTTAGTGAGACCACCACTGCTTTTGAGTTTAATGGGGTCCCAGCAGGATGTGCCGCAATCTCGACATGCTTCGAGGTCTGCAAAGACTCCGGTGTAACCCATACAAGAATTTGGGCACATGTCGTCGGAAAGGGGATGGACTC